GCCGACTTCCTGAAGTTGCACTTGATTGCTGATCATGTTGACCTCACTTAGTTTGGCTAATGCTTAGCACACAGTGACTTTAGTGTGAACTCCAAGTGAGGCCAACCGCCTAAATATGTTATATGACACTAAGTTATGCGGACCCATCGATCATTTCCACCTAAAGCTGCTATGTGCAAAGAGTTGGTAGAAATCTTCAACTTATACAGAGTTGTCCCTGCACAGGTGCTGTCGAGCTCTACAACATCCATGTTGTTATTCGCCTCATTCTTGTGTGAGTTGAAATTATCGTAGTCGCTAAACCTATTCAGGAATGCCTTCATCATTCAGGCACTTAAAGATGACTGCATGCAACTCTCGTCCGATGAGATAAAAGAAACCATACTAGCAAATAAGGTCAGGGATTAGAAGGAAAATTTCATTTTTGTTTATAGCTCGACGTCTTAGCCAGTGACCGCTAGTCAATCACATTCAAAAGTTTGACATCATTTATTGAGGAAACACTAAAATCAATTAGTGGGCAGTCATTAATCACCCTCCACCATCTTGGCTAAATAAACATTTTCATGTAGGAAAAGGGGTTGAGAAGATGAAGGCGGCACTCACTGAGGAGCCCGTCGAACCCATTAGGAAAGAGCATGGCCCACCTCCGAAGAAGGTACAATTTGAGAGGGAGAAGGCCACTTGCCCCAAGGTGGTCCCAAAGAAAGGGTTAGCGAATAAGGAGTAGTGACCACCACCCGTGAAGCCAAAAGAGCCAGCATCACGCCCTACAGTTAGGGGCATGGTGATTAATGAGGAGACGAATAAGCAAAGGATTGAGCTAGAGTCTAACCTCTTGTCTCTCGCCATAGTGGTGCCTAGCAAGGGTAAGGCGCATGCCAAGGATACACAACAAGTAGTTAATAGAGGCAACGAGGAAATGTCGGTAGTATACAAACCTCAAGGGGACTCGAAAGACTATGAGGAGGAGGAGGGGGTTCACCGTGTCTCACAACCATTTTCAATTAGGGATACATCTTCTGTCAGGATGTAGAGGACCACCTAATGAGTCTTCCCATCAACGATGTTGAGTTCTCAACAATGAATGCGATGGGGCGAATATGGCAAGGTACATTTATCCTAACTTGTCACCATATTCAAGCTTGACGAAGGTTTGTAGTATGGAAAAGGCCTACTCAAAGGTTTAGATTACTTGGAGGAAGAATGTTCTGAGAAGAACTTGGCAATGGATATGGGAAGGAGCTGCTGAAAGGATAAACTCATCCATACAATCGAGTCTCTTCAGGGAGAGATGGATAAGGAGAGGGCCCTAAAAAACTCAACACTAGATGCCAAGTAGATGGTTGAGTGGAAGGTCATTGAGGCACTTACTATGTGAGGTAAAAGCCATTGAGGACAAATGGACCTTCTTCAAGACCGCTGAATAGTATGATTCAATCCTTGGGCAAGAGATACAGGGTCAGGATCATGTGCTATATAAAGAAACTCACTTTAAAGGGTACAATCACCCTTAAGTATCAAAATCCAACCACCTTCTTTGAGAATTTCTCTACAGAGGATAGTGATGGAGCGAGTGCGGTTGTTGATTGAATCACACTCACCCATCTTTTTGTAATTTTCTGTTTTGGCCCGAAGGGCGATACATGTAATTCTTTAAAATGAAATGAAGAAAAATGAAAATTTTATGTCACTTTTTGTGTATATAATTGTTTCATAATTTCTATGTAGAACTCACTTGTAAAAAGTATGTGAATGCACTTACCACAGTAATTGTACCTTACTAGGGCACTCGCATGTATATAATCATAGAGAAAGTGGCATGTAAATGAGAATTTTTTGTAAGATTCAAATTGAATAAAAAATAACTTGTTAAACTTCGGCTAAGTATTTGAGAGGTTTTGTAATTGAACTTGTCGTTTAGAGCAAGCAAACCTAGGGCTCGTCGAAAATTTCCTCATGTCTCGACTCGGCATAATAATGAAGAATCTAAATTTACAATTAGATAATAACTATACTTGGGCTCAGCATGAGGCAAATATGTTGGAACTCGACGTGATTTCCTATAATTCTCGAACTCGACAACATTAGCAAATAAACTGAGTAAAAGAATACCTAGTTGAGTTCATTAGCAGGAATAAAATAGAACATTTTGGACTTGATAGACCGATTGCATGATTAGTGGCTTGTCAATGAGTAAGCGAGTTGGCTAAAACTCTTTATTGAGGAAACTTGTCACTAGTAAGTTTTATGCGAAGTCGCCTTAGGTGGGTCGCACCTTATGCTAGGCTTTTAACCTTCATAGGTAAGGTCAACCACCTAGACTCGTTTTATATAGGGGGCTCACATGCTACTTATTACAAATCATTTCGTAAATAGTAGAGTCAACTTATATAATTGTTAATTTAAATACTCATCATCACCTTTAGTGTGTGTCCACTAAGACTCACTAAGGGACTCATGCACTACTCATTATGAATCTTAATGCAAAAGGAGTCACCTATAGTGGCTTGACAATTTGCTATGGAATGTTGACAACTAGAATTTTAATTTTTTATTACCTTTGATACATATTGGCAAGTTAGCTATTTTTGGAGTTTTAATGTATGCTGGTCATTTTGTCTTAATGATAAAAAATTTTATGCTTTCTTCCATTTCTTTTTCTTTCTCTTTTATTTTTCTTCTTCTTCTTCTTTTTTCTTTTCTATTGAGCTTGCTCACAAAAATAAGTTAATAGAAATTTAAATGTGACTTGCCTAGGCTACTAGGAACGTAAGAAGGAATGGAGTTCACTTAAGCAGGGGCTTTGACTCGCCTACAGGCCTGAGCTTTCCTTCAATAAGTAGTCAAATTTTCTTTTTAGTGTGAGCATGGATGAGAACTTGGTTGATCCCCATCTTAATCAATCACACTGTGTCATTATGGAGTCGGGTATCAAGGGAAGGCAAGTTTTATATCCTAGATTATTGGGAGCCCACCCAAAATATGAGGCGATCACCCATGCTCCTTGGGTAAATCTTGATCGATTGAGCCCAACTCGCCAAATGAGTTGTTGCACTTAACTAGGGAGACTTCATCTGTAGGATCGCCTTCACCTTGTATGGATTTACTTTGATACCTTCAGATGTGAGAAAAAAACCCCCAAAACTTCGCTGAACCTACACCAAAAGTAGATTTCAATAAGTTAAGTCGCATATTATATCATTTGAGGGTGGTGAATGTCTCTTTCAAATCCTTAGTGTGCTGGTTGGGCAATTTATTCTTCACAAGGAGGTTGTCAACAAATACCTTATAAATCATTCTTTTGTAAGTCGCCCTAAGCCTAAGGGCATCACCTTATAACAATATAGACTTTTTGCAATAATATAAGTTATTTTATCATGATCGTCTGGATGCATTTTGATTAGATGGTATCCTGAGAGGGTATCTAGAAAACTCATGATCAAGTCGCCCACTCTCAAGTGGATTACAACATCTATCATTAACAATGGATATCCCTTCTTTGGTGATGTCGAATTCATAATAGTGAAGTTCACACACATCCTCCACTTTTCAATTGATGTATATACCGTGTCGACATTGGAGGATCCAATCTGGGTGCTAAACCTCTTTGATGATGTCAGGCTCTACTAACTTCTGCACTTCCTCCCTTATGAGCTCAAAGAATATAGCAGATTTTTTTTTTTTTTTTAATGCTTGATGGGCCTAATATCCTATCTCACATTAAGCCTGTCGCAAGCAACTTCTTCAATTCAACCACCTCTACCATGTTTGCCGCCATCCAAGCGAAGACATCAAAGTCATCCTCTAAGAAGGGTCCATATCAACTGACCTCAATGCCCCTTGCTGAAGGATGCACTTATGCTCAAAGTTTTGTTGGATACACCTTCGAACATAGCACTTCCTCCCTGATCTCTATAGTCTCCAAGCCGAGACCTCACTCTACGTCAAGCAACAACAATTCCTCGAGTGGAATCGCTACCTTCTCCACTGCTTGCAAGTAGCAAGTAGCCAGTACATACCTAGATCAAGTCACCCCTCACCATTATTTCTCTCCCTTTAGCTAGGAATTCAATGACAACGTGATTAGTGGAAACCACATCTCTAAAGCTGTTTAGCAGAGACTTATCGAAGAGAGCCTTTTTGTCCCATCAAATGACTCACCTCATTCAACTCGCACATAAACACTTGTCATAAGAGAACGCACCTTGAAATAGAGCAAGATCAATAAGTAGCAACAATTCCTAACAACCTATTAGAGGATGACATGTGTCCACAACAATCAATATTGGGATTCATTTATTATTATAATTTTTTATGAAACATTTTATATAGCTCTGAAATCCCTATACATAAAAAAGATGAAATGACACATTTTTAATCTTTTTGCACTTTCATACAAGACTATTAAGCTAATACAACAGTTCCTCTGAAAAAAATTCTTTTTTTCCTCGTTCACTAAAGGTTTTTGGGTCCTAACCTTTTGAACTTGTCTGTTTGTAAAGTCGAATATCACTCACATGTACATTTAAATCCAGCATCAAAATTAGAATGTTGTGCAACCAGGATAAACTGAAACTCTCTACACTGTCAAGAGTTGAACCTAACGAGATATGATCATGAATTATCTAATTAAAAATATAATGAACTCATGCACTATAGTAAAAGGAAAAATAGTGCACAAATACAATACCAAATTTTCTATACAAGAAGCAGCATGCCTATGCCCTTAGCAGTAAGATCATATTATTAAAAAAAAAGGACGGGTAAACAGAAACACGTATCCATGATTTATTTTGCTGACAGCGAGTATATAAAAGCAGAATAGAGCTCTATCTAATTTGACTTTGATCATGAAGCTTTTAATAATACTATAATACAGTGAAATCCATAACGGTATTAGTTTTATCAGAAAACTTTTAATCTTTTTCAAAAATTTAATGTATGTTTGGTTCGATAGAATTTAAACAGTTAAACTGAGAAATTGAACGTCTGCACAGTAGGATTAAACTTGTTCAACTTGAAAAGAAACCAATACACAACTGGGTTTTATAATTTAGATTAAAACTCTAGTCCAATGCCAAAATGGTGAACGAAACCTGAGTATTACTGCAAGCACAAACAGGATTTTCCAGGTCACTAATAGATGAATAAAGAGTCAATACCAATTGTCCAGAAAGTTGGACATCACTGGACAAAAGCTGAAAACTTGTGACAAATTTTCCTTATTTACAATGTTTACGTCAATCTCAAACAAGCTTTGCTCTAAAGGAATCACAAAGCTGAACTCGGCACAGCACGGGTATACAAAATTCCTTGAATGCATCTGCTTTGCAGGCCTGGTCTGGATTTGACAGAATAGTAACTTAATAGAAAATTAGGAGGAAAGAGATAATGCATGCAAACTAATTACCATTACCTTCTTGTTTCTCATGAAATCTGTGATAGATACTGCTCCAAACTGGTGGATGTGATGACATTGGGTGCTATTTGTCCAAGATCATCCGAATAGATATAAAGTTGGCATCTAATGAATCTCTGAAAGAAAAAACAAGCCATGTTATTAAGAAAAGAAAAAAAAACAATGCATTAAAGCATTACCGGTTAAATATTACTAACAGTGAGTTGGGAGATTATATCAAGATTTGAATCGATATGCCAGTCCGATTCTATTTGTCTAACAAATGAAATTCTCCCATTCTCAGTGCCGCAAAAGAGTACCTGCAGCACATTTTAAGAAACATTCTTTATAGCATTGTATCCATAGCTACTGAAATGACAAGTTTCAATCGTAGGAAAAAATTTGCAATGCAAATTACAGGACAATGGTCGTAAAGGTAGTGCAGCAGAGATAAGCAAAAATAATTCAGGACTGCATGCAAAGGGAAACTGAATAAGCAATGCTATGATTTCAAGCAATTAATGAATTATTCTGGAGGGATTTATATATATTGCACACAAACTATTCTATTTACATATTTAAGACCAAAATCTCACTATTTACTCGCACCCCATTCCATTTTTTAAATAACATCAAAAATATCACTTTCCTCACCTCAGTGTATACTTTCCGTTAATGATGCCCTTCCCCATCATAACTTCCTCAAACCCCTCTTTGTTGACAAGGGTTGTTGTCACCGGCCCTGCCAATGGTCTCCTCACGATATCTCATCACCTCTTTTTTTTTTTTCTTTTTTGGTTGTCGCCAAGGGTTTCGAGACTAAAAAAAGCCACTGACCCTGACCATGGCCCTTCTCCAAGTGAGATGCCATCACGATTTCCTATCAAAACATGGCATTATCCAATGCATGCCCTTCAATGAGAGATCTCGTTGCAACTTCCTATTCATGTGCATGAGAGATGGGGTTAATGGTGTGATATAGTATGTGAATAGTATCATTTAGATATTAAATATATAAATATGATGATTTAAAGTGTTATGTACGTAAATCCCCTTAATTATCAATGTTGCTATCACCTTATAAAATGATTACTCAAGGTATTAAATAGTGACTTTGTAAGCAGCATGGCAGTTGGGAAGAATCATACAAAGTAAATTCCTTGGCCAATAGCCTAGAAAAACCCAAGAAATGACAATTAAAAAGAATCCCATCATGTTTGCCTCCGTAATTTATATGCCACAGTTCTTTTAAAACCTTCCCACAAGATTCCTCCGACTTATGATAATAATGAGGGCCCTATATTCTAAAAGTTAATCAATTTTCTTTAATATTGTTGTAAAACCAACTAATAAAATCCCTCGTTCATGTAACAATCAAAAGATCCTGAATCCAAGACTTACGTTCTTAAAACAAGCTACAACTTGAGCTTAAGCCCCTCGATAAGCAACAAAGTCTTTGAAACATCCAAATATTACAAATCTTCTTACCCCGCTTACAAAGTATAAGCGCATACGCACCCAAACTTCACAGACATCAGAAACTTTAAAAATGCTTACAAAATACATAAACACGACATTTTTATTACTGTCTAGTTTTCATCCATAAAGAATCCTAAATGCAAATAACAATTTTGAATCATAATCTAGCCGAGATAGTAGAATATTAAATATCATTAGTAGTTCAATGATGCATAAAGCACGAAGAGTATAGTATTGAACTATCCGCCTTCCATGTTGTACAAGCAAAAACAAACAACAACAACATTAAGCCTTTATTCTACTACGCAGAGTATGTTGTATAAGTACTTAAAATAAAACTCATAAGCACGTAAAATAAAAAAGACAATTCAATTGTTTTATCATTTTTTTATGCCAGGTGCATGGTCAAAGTATCATTTAAACAAATTATATTTATTTTTTTCCTATTTTAGATATTGTTGACTAGGGTCAATAGTCTGATTTTATTTCAAAATTCTCTAGAACCCAATGGCTATATATATATATATGGCTACTTAAAAAATAACAAATTTGCTTTAAAACATATTTCAAAAAAATACTAAACTTATAGTGAAAAAAAAAAGAGGTGAATAAGTATAACTAAAACTACAACTATTGATATATTATAAAATAATCTTGATATGCCCCTAAGAAAGTATTGGATCCGGATTAATCTAGCTTGTTTACCAAAAAGCAAATGATTTATGCTTCCATAATCTTCTTGAAACGGACGCAGGACAAGGCACGTGGGCGTGAGTGGAGGCTAGATGTTGAACCTAGCTTGGCCAAACGAATCTTGCTCGCATGAGGAGATTAGACATAGGCTGAAGGGTGGAGGAGTTAGGTCTTGCTCAAAAGAAGTAGATGGTAGGCCTTTGCTAGACCATTTCCGTTCGCACAGAAGCTTTGAAGGCACAACTTGGCGAAGGCATGTCTGCAGATAGAGGAGTCTCGATTCAAGAGAATGGTGTTCACGGATGACTGTTTTAGAATTACGGGAGCTTGGTTTCAAGACAGGCACGGATCGAGTATCAAGATCGGAGATCGGGACCGGCTGGAAGCAGGAATACTGTTCTTGATTAAAGGTCGGTGATGATCTTTGAGGTGGAGCTTTCGATTAAGATTGCGGTTAAATCAGCAAGAATGATCGATCAGGATTGGTGTGTACGAGAAATGGATCAAGAAAGAAAATCAGAAGCAGAAATTGGGATTTGAGGGATTTCTATTTTTTCGGGTCATGTGAGAGCGGGAGCCATCCGAAAGGGAAGGTTTAGGGCTTGTGTTGCCTTGGCTTCTTGAGTGAGGAGGAAGAGAGAGGTGGTGAAATCTTGGGATTTCTGTGTGTGTGAAGAAGATGAACCATTCTTGTTCTCCTCTATCTTGTTCTTCTTCTTCGAGCAATACAATCAAAAGTTATTATAGATTGGAAGCAAGTTTTATGTCATAATCTTTTTCATTCACGTATTTGAATTGGGAGTGAGAGCAAGAAAGGGCTAGATCTTTGTTAACGGTTGTTTTGGGCTTCTTGTGGAAGAGAGAAGATGTGGGGAGGTGAAATCTTGGGATTTTTATGTGTGAAGAAGGTGAATCCTTCTTATTCTCCTCTTGTTTGTTCTTCGTCTCTGAGAAAGACAATAGGTTATGATTGTCGGTTGGAAACAGATTAGTATCGTAAGAACTTGTTCCTTAGCTGAACGCTAGAAGTGCAGGTGTATTTTCTCCTTGTACATTAGGAGGTTTGTTGATACTTGTTTTGCTCTCGATTTTGGGGCTACGTCCCCTAGTTCTCCCGATTTATTGTTTCTTGCTGCTCTTGTTTTAAAGATATGGTTAGATTAGAGATGAACTTATGGCTCTTTGATTGTAAATTTGGACTAAGGTGGAGATTGTGAGATGTTGGTCTAGTTTTAGCTAGGTTGTTCCTTCTTTGTTATCACACTCCTGCTTATGAGATGTATTATTTGGGTAAAATTAATAAAGCTTTAGCTATTTTTCTCCTAAATTCTGTCTCTCATTCCTCTCCTCTCCTCTCTCTTTCTTACAAGAAGAGCTCTAAAGAAGATCCTCCTTAATTTTAACAGTAATGTTTGTTTCACTCAAGATTTGTGATAGCCCTTCAATCAAGCCTAGGGAGAATCATTATAATCTGATAGATCTAATGATTCAAATCGAATTCAGATCATCATAATCTGATATATCTAATGATTAAAGTCAAATTTAAATCATTATAATCAGATAGATCTATGGTTCAACTCAAATTCAAAGCATCTCAAACACCAATCTCAAAGCCATCAAAATGAATCCAATAGTCAATTCAAATCTCCAATAACAGTAATCTCAAAACCTAAGGAATTCATCCATCAGTCCATTATCCCCTAAATAGAAAACACCCAACACAAATCTTAGAGATGAGATTTCACAATCATCAACCTTCTGATTAATGAGGCACAAATTTCAAATAAGAAGTATATATCTTATTAATCATGTCTTAATCAAAATACCCCTCACTCACATTACTATAACAAACACCCCCCCCCCTGCACGCGCGTGCGCTCAAGATAAAAGAACTTTAAATTTAGTTGTAAAACTCTACAATCTTTCAATAAAGACTCCGCTGAGTCATTTCAACTATTTTCCCGAGCCTTCAAATTTGCTTATTGACTTGTAGCAAAGTACCCTTACAGGAAGACATTCCTCGAGATAAACTCACATATTTGGTTGGTTATGTATTCATGAAGTAAATAAATGTTGTGAACAATATATCCTACGGACATTAAATGATTGTAGATCATTTAAATGACTCAAAAAGGTTAGGCAATAATAAGAAAGAAAAATATAGAAAATATTAAATAGCCAAAATAACAAATAAGAAATCTAAAAACTTTAATAAAGTTTATATGTAAAAGATAATATGATTGTTTTCCATAAATTAAATAAGGCATCAAGAAAAGATAAAACTATATATGGCATCAAGAGAACATAAAACTATGTAGCCCCAATTTTGCCTAGTGGTTAGATGCTTTAGCTTCATCCACAAGGTCATGGATTATAGGCCTAGCATATAGTAGTATGTGTGAGTTTGTGATCAAACTCACTCAATCTTCCATATATAAATAAATATTATTTTAAGAAATCATTAAATGAAATTTTAATATAAAATCTTTTCAAAAAATGTACAATGCATTGAATCATGAAAAATATTATAGATGAAGACGTATAAATATAAAATCTTAGGTCTAAAACAGATAATTCTAAGGATTTGCAATGCAAGAAAAACATTAAAGTAATTTGTTGATAAAACTTTTCCATGAAATCTTTAAGAATAAATGGATGCTGAATAAGTGGATTTTGGCATCAGTACTTCCAATCAAAGAATATGTTTAGAATTGTGATATTAGAAAGGGGCTAAATAGTAGAAATCATACAATAAGTGGACAGCGCAGTATAGTAGAATGTTTAGAATAATATATGCTGAATAAGTGGACAGCGCAGTATTAATCATTAAAATCTCTATTAAAAATGCCAAAAAATTTGAATAATATGGAAAATGTTTAGAAGATAAAAGACCATAAATGCAATATGCAATTTTAGTAAATATGAAATTGATCTTATAAGTAAATATTATTAGTATACCAAATGATACCTAGGTGAGGTGGGCAAGCATAATGGATTTATTATATAAAACAATGGGGATATCATTAAATGATTCAGGCATATGAAATGAAGGGTATAAGAAGCAATAATAAGATAGATAAATCAAATTAAATTGGAAGGTTTAAGAAAAAAAAAAGAGTCAGACAAAAAAATTACATGTATAGAAGTCCAGCAAAAATTTTTGAGCAAATTATATTTTAATATTCCATGTAGCACTTAAGAAGAATGCATAAAAAATGAAGATTAACAGAGCCCACCCCCTCATTTTAAATGCAAGAAAAACACCACAAAATACCTGCAGCTTTCTTTTCTCTTATCCAAGCTAACCACCTAACATCTTCTCTCAATGTCAAACTCTTTGAAAGACCACTGTATGGCCCATTACACCGAGAAATGTAACCAATATTCACCAGCATAGCAGCCATACCTCTAAAGTTCATATCCTTTCTCGAGTTGCATAAGCAAGGAACAAAACTAAATTAATGAAATGGCTATAGAGTGAATAACAATTCATCAGGATTAACATTCATATCACATAGCCAGTCAAATCTATTTATTCACAAAGTCCTGTTGACAGATAATATAAGACCAAAATACTGTAAAAATTTTGTCATTATTGTACAAAAATTAATTTCCATTAAAAATATATATATATTAGTATTCCATTCTAAGTTCTAGCAAAATACATGAAGAGATCAAATGCTCTTCATATTCTCAAGGAACTAAATTCAACCTCCAAACAAGCAAGTGCTTGATCAAAATTCAAAACGTATTTGACAATTTAAAAAATCTCAAGTTGATATCATCAATGCAACCCCTAGCATTCCCAGGACTAATTCAAGACACTAACAAATCAACATAAACTCTTAAGTATTGGAAGAGCTATAATAGAGAATATACAAATTTCTATCTTATTCATAATTACAATGCACTATTTTAAGCAGATCCAGCAAAGCAACATCCAAAAGACAGTCCACACTGTAAGAAAGATACATCGCAGCTATGTAAAAAAAATCATTCTAAAATAAAGATAAAGTGCTTATACCTCTTTGTTTAATCTACTGCATGAGAAATGTCCCAATGATGGATAATTTATAACACTAATAAATAATTTTAGCTCTAGCATACCTTATCCCTATTCAAGCCACCTGAACCAAACAATCCAGCATTTTCCATAGCTGAAAGAACTCTTTCCTGAAAATAGTTTACGCTTGATTGAACTATAGAAGAATTTAAAGATCAATAGTAAATAGTATTGTTCTTTTACCATGAAAGATAGAAAAAAAAATGTATAATAGAAAAAGTAGCAATAAATAAATATTCAAAAGAGGGAAATTTCAACAGATGAAGAATTTACTTTTATTAATCATTAAAGCAGTAATATATTGCTAAGAAAGACTTCCAAAATTTTGAAGAACTTAAAACACGATTTGATGCATCCTGCATCTATGTTTCCTTCACCCTACCTTTCCTTCTGTGCAATTCTTAATGTATAAGAAATACAACCAAAATAAGCATCAAACGACAAGTATGAATGAAGATTAAAATAAATAATTGTAAAAAGGGTTTAGCATCATTAATGATATCCTAAAAATCAGGACTATGCCAACTAATTGAAGGAGATATTTTTTATAAAGATATTTTAAAATTTGTTAGGCAAAAAGGAAAAATAATTAGCATTCTATGTAACTCTATGCTAAGAGTATTATGTAGAGTTAACAATAATAAAAATTATGCAATTAGAGGTGCACCTTAGTGCAATTTATATTAAAAATAACTATGAGGCATAAACCTCATGTTGGCCGCATGGCGCACAAACCTTCAGTGGAGCTAAGGCATGCTAAGCACAATTTTCAAGAGGCACAAGCCCCAAATATTAAGGAGGCACATTTTAGCTTAATTTTGAAGAGGCATAAAAATCTAATATAAAAGAATAGGAAATTTTAAACTGTTAATTTATAAATCTAATATATGAAATTAAATCTTATTTTTATTTCTCTATATCTAAATCAAAACCAAACCAATTCGAGAATCACACACACATCCTCAACTGCAAGCCCACGACACTCATCTCCACAGCCATAATTTACAACCTTTGTTGTCACTCTTGCTAAGCCACTACCACTAATTCATCATACTTTTCTTCCGCTACTCCACTATCTCTCTGCTTTCTAGCAACCCATCTCCTTTTTTTCCATATTTTTTGAACTTTTTCTCATCATTTGCATTTCCCATTCTCTTTTTTTAATGAAGTTTTCTCAATCTTGAATGAAGTTCAATTTCGAGTTATTCTAAAAAGGTTCGAGGTTCTAAAGAAAGCTCAATGGGAAACAATAATTTGACATGGAAGTCCATTGTTTAATTGCATATTGGAGGGAGTAAAAAAACTTAGATTTATTTGAAGTGCAACTATTATGATAAAGTGGATAAAAGCTATATAATAAGAATGAAAAAATATATTTCTAGTTCTCATTAGAATAAGAATATTGCACCATGTGCCAAAGTATCTGGGAAGGTAAAAGAGGAGATTAGTGCTTATATGAATAAAATGACCATGTCAAAGTATTTCACACAATGACAATTTGACGACAAGTTGGTAGTGGCCCTTATTATGATAGCTAGCTTAGTGGAAAGATTCCTCTTCTTTTCTAACATAAATGTCTAATACTGGTGCAAAGGGACGTATACCAAAATATCCAATACAGGTGCAAAGGGACCTATAAATCAATATATGATGAATATGGCATATAACATTAACGATAATACAAGGATTACCCATCATATCTCTCAATAAACTGTAAAAGAGGCTTGCAAGCGTGTTTGTATTGACATTGAAAGACTCTTCTTTAAGAATGTATGATGTAGGACTAAGCGAAATAAGTCATGCAATTAGAGATTTGTGCTAAGATAGCATCAAAGATAGCGAAATAATCTTCATAAAACATTAAAAACATTAAGAAAATGTGAACTATTAGATCATGTGATAGCAAGAAACTAACAAGTAAAGGCTAAACATACAAGAATAAGTGAATCAATTCAAACTAGCTAACATGGTTTGGCACAAGTCCAACATTTAATTAAGGGACTAGTCACTAGAGTTTCTGATCGCTCAAATTTAAGGCTTGGCAGATTAATCAACACATCTGAGATGATGCTACTATAGATTAAATGAGAAAATCAATATTTAGTTAGATGAAGAATAAGGGTTTGATACTTAGCTCATGAATGGGGGGAATGGAGTCCTTGATGAGATGTCAGTAAGTTCCTCCTTGGCTTGCCCTCGAAACACTTGCTCTTTATTGAATCAAAATCCTTGTTGCATTAGAAGAAGCAACGTTTCTTTGGAAAGGTAGAATAGTGAGGGGAAAAAAAAAGTTCCAGCTATATGAGGATTTGGAAGTGGTGAAATCAACTAGGGAGGTGAAGAGATGGGATTGATTGCTTTGGAAATTGAGAGGGCTAATGTGATTTTCTTGGGAAGGGAAGTAGTTGGCTTGGGAAAGGGAAAAGTTAGCTCGAGAAAGGAGAGGGCTGGTGTGGCTTGTTTGGAAAGGGAAGCAGTTGGCTGGGAAAGGGAAAAGTTAGCTTGGGAAAGGGAGAGGGCTGATGTGGCTTGCTTGGAAAGGGAAGTAGCTGGCTTAGGAAAGGGAAAAGTTAGCTGGGAAAGAAAATTAAAGTGGATTTGGATCTCCAAAAGTCACAATTAATTGAGATAAATGCTCAATTAATGTGAATTATATGCGGAATTGGGAAGCCCAAGGGGCAAGGGTGTTGGAGCAATGGTGGAGGCGGTTAGATAGGAAGAAGGGAGGTGGCGGCTAGTTGAGGGCAGCGAGTTGCTGCTGCTATGGGAGGTTTTTTGGGCGACTAGGGAAGGAGAAGAAAGAGATAGAGAGGGAAGATGATACCAACCAAGGGCTCACACATTGTTGGGTATTTCTTTGCTTTTCTCCAAAGGACTTCACACACAAACTCAACTCACCAAGAGAAGAGGAAGCATAGAACATATATTTATATCAAATATTCATCAACCATACAAGAGAACAATGGGCCATATACATAGGTACCAAAAATATGAAATGACAAAAGACAAGAAGGTAAAACTGAAATAAAATAAATAACATCACATAAATCTCCTAGAACACATAAAACTAAAAAAATATAAAGACTCAATCAAGTACGTAGATCTCCGGTCTTACGGTGACAAACCCTCCAAGCTCTGAGGTCCCCATCATTCTCCCGGGGTGGGAGAAAACTTGACCCTGTCGAGTAAGCTGTAAGTGAACTCTTGTATCGCTCCAACAAATCCAGGTCGATCCTCTACAACCCCTCACACTCAAACCATATCTCTTCGATCTTCGGCTTATCCTTCCACCTAATCAAATATCTTCTTCTTCCTCCATCCTTAGTAGAAATAATTTTATCGCTCAAAATGATATCAATTTTATCTGCTTGGGGTGTATTGGGTAATTTGGGTAGTTGAGGTAGGCTAGGGTGCTCACTGGGTGGGTTCAAACAAGGCTCAGTAAATGGATTAGGTGGGTTAAAATCAGGTCCCTTATAGGCTACTACATTCTCTATATTAAAGGACAGACTTATGCCAAAATCTTAAGAAAAATCTTCCACATAAGCATTGTCATTAATTTTGTTCACAACTCTAAAAGGTCCAACACTCTCCAAATAACCCCTTTCAGGAACCATTCCAGACGAATCTGAACCATCACATAATCACTTACTTAAAAAGTTCTGAATCGCTTCTTAATGTTAGCCTGAAGTTTGTACGTTGCATTGCTTTGATTTATCTTAATTAAAATCTCTTTATGCAAATTATGCAAATAGAATGCAAATGATGATACAAACTCACTAACTCTAGACCTAGGACTCATGGGAATCAAATCTATAGGCTGCCTAAGTTTGAAACCATAGACTATCTCAGCTGGACTCAGACTTGTAGTACAATTCACAGAATTATTATAGACAAACTCAGCTATAGACAACTTAGAATCCCAATCTTTCACATGTTCACCAACTAAGGTTCTGAGAAGATGTCCTAATTCTTATTAACTACCTCAGTCTGGCCATCAGTTTGTGGGTGAAAAGCAGTAGAGAACTGAAGTTTTGTGCACATTTTCATCCACAAGGTTTTCAAAAAATAGCCCGTGAACTTCACATCCCTATCAGACACGATAGTTTTGAGTAAACCATGTAATCTGACACCCTCATTAAAATATAGTTTTGTCACAATAGAGGCATCAAAAGTCTTAAAACAAGGCAAGAAATGAGCGATTTTGAAAAATCTAACCACTACCACACAGATGGCATCATTCTTGCGGACGGTCTTTGGCAGGCCGAGAACAAAATCCATACTAACATCCTGCCAAGGACAAGAAGGGACAGGTAGAGGCATGTATAACCAAGTGTTTTGCTTATTTTTGTTTGGCCAGTTGGCATAAGTGGCATCTATTGACAAACCTAGCAACATCCTGTTATAAGTTAGGCCAAAAAAATCGATATGACAAGTTTATCCCGGCCAAAATGACCAGCTAGATTGCCAGCATGAAGCTCCCATACAAAAAAACTCTCTCAGTGATGATGAAGGGATGCAGAGCTCCTGGACCAGAAATAGATATACATCCTTGACGATATAATCATCCATGATACGTTCATCAATAGAGGTGAGGATGGAGTAGATCTCTCCAAAATCATGCCAATCAACATAATCGTCTCTCAACTGCTCAAATCCAATAACCTCAGCCCTCAATTCAACAAGCGTCATCATACGACGACAAAGGGCATCAGTAGCTCGGTTCTGCACTTTCGCCTTGTGCTTAAGCGTGTATGTATATTCCCGGAGGAACTCAACCCATCTTCCATGACGTTTGTTCAACTTCTTTTGGGAGTTTATATAACGTAGAACTTCATGATCAGAAAAGATGACAAACTCTTATGGGAGTAAATATATTGTCAATATCTCAAGGACTAAATCACAGCATAAAATTTTTTGACATACATGGAGTACCGTTGACGAATATCATTCAACTTCTCGTTGAAATAAGCCACAACATTACCTTCATGGGAAAGGACCCCACCAATACCCAACTCTAGAGGCATCACATGACACCTCAAAGACTTTAGAAAAGTCAGGTAACCTCATAACAGGTGCCTCCACCATCTTTCTCTTAACCTCATCAAAG